GAGTTTTCTGGTGTATGTATGAAAAAGTCTTGGATGTTTCATAATGTAAAATGGAAGCTCACATCATTTACATCTCTGAATTATCAGAATCGACTTTATTGTCCAAGTATGAGGAGACATGCAAGGAAGTGGGGTCTTTTTTTCTTTTCATAAGTGCAAACAGTCAGTTGTGTTAATCTCCCGAAACATGATAATGAAATGTGCTTTACTCGAACTATGGCGCATCTCATCGTTGGGATGTTTTTACTCTGACTCCAACAGTGAAGTCAAACTCTTTGGCAAAGAGTTATAAGCTAAATCAGGGGTTGTGTGCACAGAAAGTGCTTATTAGCTCTATGAAAGCCAGTACAGAAACCTGTTCTCCTTTGCCAAATGCTTTCAGGATAGGTCATTTCAGGGTTTTTTTTGTCTGTTTTTGTTCTTTAAGACATAATTGTGACGTGAAAAATGTGGTTTGATATTGTTTGGAAAGTTTGGCAGTGCTGAGATTTCATGGCTTCTGCCCGTCACTGCTCAGCTCTTGGTATTTCACAGGTGTGTAGCGGTAGACGTGAGGTCTGGCTTTTTCTTAAATAAAACTCGAGTTATCCGTAGTTATCTACCGACTTGACAGCGGGCTGGAGCTAAGCAAGATGGAGAGAGAGAATAAACAGCCTGGCTCCACTGCAGGGTAAAAACCTGGAGTCTAAGGAGACAAAGAGAGGAGGATAAATGAGTCGTGGGGTGGCTGAGAGAAAGGAGGAGAAACCAGGGGGTGTGAGCAACGCTAAAAGAATAGACAGAAGAAGGAGAGGAGGTGGAGAGATCAAGCTAAATCAGCAGAGGAGAGGAAATGGGTGTCAGAGAAATGGAGGTAGTCTGATAAAGAGGAGAGAGACGGGAAAGCAGATAGCTGCTTCGAAGTGGAAAATATGTTTCTAAAGTGTCAGGTGAAGGTAGCGTTACAGTAGTGAGATATGTAAGATGAAAGAAACACATTTTAAATGTTTGATTTCTCACTTAAAGAAGTATGGCTCCTAATCCTTGAAGAATATTGTATTTATTTTGCAGATTTTCTTACATAATTAATTACATAATCACATTTTCGACAATCAGTAAACAGTTCTGTTTATTTACCGAGTAGCTAAATATGAAACTTGGCTGTTTCATATTTGCGATCTAAATAAAGATGTAGATGATAACTTTTCATGTTTGACATTTTTATAATAGCATTTCTATTGGGTTTAATTAAACGTGTAAAGGCTAAAATCATATTTATCCCACAAAGATTTTACAGCCATACACACACAACAGTCTCTGCTGTTAGACTCTTAAATAAGAAATAATTCCACAAAGAAAAACCTTCAACCTAGAAATGAAAAAGAAACTGATGTAGTTGTATCTATATGAGATTCTTATTTAGAGGTTTTTTCAGTTATATTCAGGGTAACGGTAATAGCAGATACACTTATTTAGCTCCTTGTTAACATAATTATTTGATCAGCCAATCATAACGCGGAAGCTCAATGCCTTTAGCCATGTCAAGACGACCTGCTGAAGTTCAAAATAAGCATCAGAATGAGGAAGAAAGGGGATTTACAGTGGGGCAAAAAAGTATTTAGTCAGCCACCGATTGTGCAAGTTCCCCCACTTAAAATGATGACAGAGGTCAGTAATTTGCACCAGAGGTACACTTCAACTGTGAGAGACAGAATGTGGGAAAAAAAATCCATGAATCCACATGGTAGGATTTGTAAAGAATTTATTCGTAAATCAGGGTGGAAAATAAGTATTTGGTCAACAACAAAAATACAACTCAATACTTTGTAACATAACCTTTGTTGGCAATAACAGAGGTCAAACGTCTACTATAGGTCTTTACCAGGTTTGCACACACAGTAGCTGGTATTTTGGCCCATTCCTCCATGCAGATCTTCTCGAGAGCAGTGATGTTTTGGGGCTGTCGCCGAGCAACACGGACTTTCAACTCCCGCCACAGATTTTCTATGGGGTTGAGGTCTGGAGACTGGCTAGGCCACTCCAGGACTTTCAAATGCTTCTTACGGAGCCACTCCTTTGTTGTGTGTTTTGGATCATTGTCATGTTGGAAGACCCAGCCTCGTTTCATCTTCAAAGTTCTCACTGATGGAAGGAGGTTTTGGCTCAAAATCTCACGATACATGGCCCCATTCATTCTGTCCTTAACACGGATCAGTCGTCCTGTCCCCTTGGCAGAAAAACAGCCCCATAGCATGATGTTTCCACCCCCATGCTTCACAGTAGGTATGGTGTTCTTGGGATGCAACTCAGTATTCTTCTTCCTCCAAACACGACGAGTTGAGTTTATACCAAAAAGTTCTACTTTGGTTTCATCTGACCACATGACATTCTCCCAATCCTCTGCTGTATCATCCATGTGCTCTCTGGCAAACTTCAGACGGGCCTGGACATGCACTGGCTTCAGCAGCGGAACACGTCTGGCACTGCGGGATTTGATTCCCTGCCGTTGTAGTGTGTTACTGATGGTGACCTTTGTTACTTTGGTCCCAGCTCTCTGTAGGTCATTCACCAGGTCCCCCCGTGTGGTTCTGGGATCTTTGCTCACCGTTCTCATGATCATTTTGACCCCACGGGATGAGATCTTGCGTGGAGCCCCAGATCGAGGGAGATTATCAGTGGTCTTGTATGTCTTCCATTTTCTGATGATTGCTCCCACAGTTGATTTTTTCACACCAAGCTGCTTGCCTATTGTAGATTCACTCTTCCCAGTCTGGTGCAGGTCTACAATACTTTTCCTGGTGTCCTTCGAAAGCTCTTTGGTCTTGGCCATGGCGGAGTTTGGAGTCTGACTGTTTGAGGCTGTGGACAGGTGTCTTTTATACAGATGATGAGTTCAAACAGGTGCCATTCATACAGGTAACGAGTGGGGGACAGAAAAGCTTCTTACAGAAGACGTTACAGGTCTGTGAGAGCCAGAGATTTTCCTTGTTTGAGGTGACCAAATACTTATTTTCCACCCTGATTTACGAATAAATTCTTTACAAATCCTACCATGTGGATTCATGGATTTTTTTTTCACATTCTGTCTCTCACAGTTGAAGTGTACCTCTGGTGCAAATTACTGACCTCTGTCATCATTTTAAGTGGGGGAACTTGCACAATCGGTGGCTGACTAAATACTTTTTTGCCCCACTGTAGGTGAATGTGGTGTGGTTGTTGGTGTCAGACAGGATTGATGGAATTGATGCTCTACTGCGAATTTTTTTCCCACACATACATATTTGGGGTTCAAGTCGTCCAAAAAAGAGAGAATATCCAGTGAGCATCAGCTCTCTGTTAGAAAATACCAAAGGCCAGACTGTTTTGAGCTGATGGGAATGCAAGAGTAACTCAAATAACCATTCTTTACAAGAGAGGCGTGCAGAAGAACATCTATGAATGCACATACGTTGAACCTTGAAACCCCTTGATGGGCTATAGCAGCAGAATACCAGCCTGGGTGCTGCTAATGTCTGCTAAGAACAGGAAACTGAGGCTGCATTTCACACTGGATCACCAATACAGCAATAGAAAATTAGAAGAACAATGCCTGGTCTGGTTTTCTCAGACCAGACGCAAAAAAGTCTTAAGGAGTTTAAGATATTAATGCTTTCTTAATGAAGATCCCCAAGTTTGCACAAAGGGGAAAATTAATAACACTAACAACGTGAGCAGGAAAAGTGACATGCCCCACTGGCTAGGAGGCGATGATAAAGAGATGGAGAGGGACAGAAGCACAGCCTTTGTTTGTTTAAGAGCTGCTTATTCATTTTCACTCCCTTCTCTTCCGGATTCATTCACTCTCTTCTCCTTTTCTTTATCTCCACCTAGTTTCTGGAGTTACAGGCTCGACGAGAGGCAGAGGAAAGGAGGAGGTTCCCCCTGGAGAGGAGGCTGAAGGAGCACATCATTGGACAGGAGGGGGCCATCAATACGGTGGCTTCAGGTAAACCCGCAGATACTCCTGAGTGAGTAAATACACAAAAATACAAAACATCACTGCCTTTGTTTCACTTTTCTTTGTTTCCTTCAACATATTTACGTCGAGGAGGGCGACTCCTCTTACATCTTTCTCCTGTTCTCCTGCCTTTTCCACCAGCAGTAGGCGGGTTCGTACAGACCTGCGGAGGCTGTAATTGGTTAATTGTGATGAATGAGCTGTCTGTCAGGCATACACAGGTGCTGTGTGCGTGTGTGTGTGTATTTGTGCGTGACAGCTGAAGAGGCCAGGCTTGGAGCCGCCAGTTAACACGATTACAGAGAGAGGAGACATACTACAGACCCCCCCTTCTCCTCCTCCTCGTTTCTCTCCAGCTTTCTGCTCGCCCCCCTCTGTCTCTGTTCTTCTCTTTCTCCATCATCTCTATCTCTGGGTCTCTTGTTTTTGATCTCCATCTCTCTCCTTCACTCTCCTGTCCTTTCCTTCTTCCTCTTTGAAACATTAATGCACCTCCTGAATCTCCACTGTTTGTCCTCAAACACTACTGTTGGGGATGGGCAAACAGATGTAAACAAGAGAGGATGGGATGGGCGAAAGAATAAAAAAAATATAAAACTAAAAGATACAGGGACACGATGGGAGAATACGGGGAAATATCTGAGAACCAGAAAGCTTGTAGCTCTGACAGAAAGACAGAGAGTGTGTTTAGTGCTTAGAGGAAGGGAGGGAGGATGAGTTAGAGCACAATAACACAACCGACAGTAAAGAGCTGATATTACACCAGGCATCCATGGAGGCCATGTACTGTATTGATCTGCAGATGAGTTTGTGGGAGGGGGGGTTGTGAAAGGGTTCTGCAGCAGGGAGAGAGGCTGTGTGTTATTTTTATGATGTTGGACATTTTCTGTTTTAGATTTGTGAAAATAATTAACTCATTCCCAAAGCTAGAAACTGATATTACAGTCTATAACACATTGGAGAGAGCAAATACTGCAGAGTTTATAACCAACAAGGGAACAACTTTCATCCCTCCCCAGACCTCCGTAACTCTAATACTTCATCAAAAAAACAACACAAACTACAGATATGAGACAAACTACAGAGCTGTCTGTAAAACTAAAGACAGTAGTTGTTACAAGTGTCAGAAGGGGAGGATAGTCGTGGGACTTGTAGTCTTTGGCAAGGCGATGAATGACTGTTGTTATCGCGAAAGCCGTACAAGACATCACCACAGAGAAATAGGAACAGCTTATTGATCTGTGTAGTGATTGATCTGTGTATTGTAGTGACTATATATCACACAACCACACACACAGGGAAAAAAACACTCAGAGGCAGATACAGAACCTACTAGAGCACACACGACCTCGTGTGCAGCTACAGTTTGTAAAGGTGAGCCGAGCAGAAATCAGTCAAACTCTTGCCAGGAGGAGGGAAGTAGATATTTAGAGATGAGGAGATGACTCAGGAAAGAGAGATGCACTGCAGATAAGAAGATAAATGGGAGAAGGATGTAGAGATAAAGAGTGACCAGGCTATGTGTCTGCAAATACACGCCATATCCAACATTTTAATGCGCAATTACTGGTTAAAAATGTAGAACTTTCATGATTAATCAGAAGGCAATTTTAGGATTAACCCAGGGTTTTCTGTATTACTGTAGTACATCACCATGGTAACCCATGATGCAAACCTAACCTGCACTGGAACGAGTTGTGCTCATGATTAGTGATCAACAGTTTCAACAAGCTTCAAATGGGCTAAACTTTATTGATATAGTAAATCTTGTCCAGTCTTGCTTAAAGATCAACACACACACATTCGTACAGCACTTTTAGTACTAAACCACTGTGCAGTACTTTTCCTGTTACACGCTCATTCTGCTGGTCTGTCTGTAGCAGCTGTGCTGCTCTTAGTCTTCTTATATTTCTCACATATTAGCTTTATCTCCCTTTTTGTAAAAATCTGCTGCCAGAGCACAACTCCATGTTTCTGGTTAGTCATACACTGCTAATAGTGGTGTTTCAAGTGTTTGTCGTGAGACTGGGATAGGCTGGGTTACCTTATTGAGTTGATAACCACCGTGTGACCGCTTCGCCTGAGTAAGTGAAGCCTGATAATGGGAGGATATCCCAGGTGCGTTGGACTTGCTTCGTAGAAGTGATTGAACTGTTCCAGCCAGAAACCTTTGTATATCGTTCCCATTTTAAAAATATTACAACTAAAGAAAAAATGACAAAGATAACTTTAAACTTCCGACTCTATGATGTAATTATGTGAAACACACAAAAAAGAAATTGGAACATATTCATCTGTTTATTGTTTTTGTTTTTTCCTATCTGCTCATCCTCTTCTTTTTGTTTCAGCTCAAGTTATCTTGTTGCACTGTAACATTTCAGTAGTAAAGGGGGAAGAAAAGTTTGGCAGTTTGATAGATGTACTGATTATTTTTTTGCAAAATTTTGCAGCTCAAAAATTGAAGAAAAACTGAGACGTGGTTTTCTTTCCCTTTTTTTTTTCTTCTTTTTTTCTCGATGCGATGTCTTCAAAACGTCTGTTTTCACCTGAACTCCTCATGACGAACAGCTGGCCTGCAGCAAGACACAAAGTAGAAATACGCACACACACACACACACACACACACACAGGAAGGAGGTTAGATTGATCCAGGTTTAGCTCTCAGGGCTAAGAGTTATTGAAGAGAATCATCCCTCTGTAATCATGTTAGAGCCAACCAGACCTGCCCAATACACACTGCGCTGAGAGTGTGTGTGTGTATGCATGTGAGAGAGAGAGACTGAGTGAGAGAGCTTTCATTTGTTTTGTGTCTCCTTCCTTTCCTTGTTGTTGTCAGGGTCCTTTGAGAAATGTCAATGTGCCCTTCTGTCAGAGTCGGTCTCAATCAGCTAAAACACGCACAACCACACAGAAGGTTACGCTGTCATTCACACAGCCATTGATAAAGCAGACGGAGCTTTGGAGCCCCTCTTGTCACTGTTCATCTCTGTGTCCATCTCTGACACACTTGTTTGTTTCTCTCCCTCATTCTCTATCTCCTTATCTCCATCACTCCTCTCTTAACCCCTCTGTATCGTCTTCTACATCTTTACTCCTCTTTCCTCTCCTTATCTGAGTTCCTCCCTCTGCTTCTCTGTGTAGCATCTCTCTCTGCCTCCCTCATTTGGCCCCTCCTCCTCCTCTCCTGCCAAGAATCTGCTTTTTATGATTATTAGCTATTAGTTGCTACTTTAACACTCACATGTCATATCTGTTGTATATTTTCTCAGCTGCAAGAGATTACAACAGCTGAGCAGGAGGGGAGTTGTTATCCTGGTGTAGGAGGACACGAAAAACACGAAACCTAAACATTTGGTCTGTGTTTTTGTCTTGCAGCTGATTAAGATGAGTGTCTTGAACTGCATTGCTCACACTTTTATCCTGGGACTTTGTGGGATTTTACCATAGAGCAGGGGTGTCAAACTCAAATACACAGTGGGCCAAAATTCAAAACTGGAACAAGGTCGTGGGCTAACATTAATATTTATTGAAAAAAAATCTTGGGCTCAAACAAGTTTTGCTGAAAAACTGAATATGGAACAAGCAAAGCTTAATACTAAACAATATATATATTAGCTGTATAATACCAGTAGGCCAGCGCTAATAGTAATTTGGTATGGCTTCAAGGGTCAAATGTAATTAGGCTGCGGGCCAGAGTTTGACACCTATGCCATAGAGGGTGTATAAAAACAACGGACATAGGTCTGAAAGGAAGTGTGTTAAACTTGCATTCTTTCTTATGGCCAGCAGGGGACGACTCTTCAGTGTGCACAAAGAAGTCAGTTTGTATTGGAAGTGATGCCACTGCTCCCATGATTTCTAACCTCAGCTGATTTCTAAGCATATTGCAGATGAGTTACAGTAAAAGAAAATAATAATAATTGTCAGAATTGTTGCTATGACTGAGTAGGCAGGGTCTTGGGTTTTGACTTACTACCAAAACCAAAAGACATTCCTCTGAACATGGTCAGGTACAAGGACAGAAATGGAAATCTGTGAAATAACAGCCGATATCTGAAGAAATTTGAAAAACTGTAGAACTGTTGCTCGAGAACACTAGGAAGCAAAATATAAAGATATGAAGGCGGTCTCAAAATGTTTGCACAGCGCCGTATGTGCTACAACACAAAAACCTGTAGTTTCAAATTTCACACTTGACCGAAGTAGCATCACATACGTTGCACTCTACCATCTTAATGTGATTTTGTTTTCATTATATTTACATCCTTTCTTTCAGAGGATAAACTGGCCTCCTGCCACATTATAAAGATAACTGCAGAATTTCTTCTGGCCAAAACTCTACTGAGAGAACTTGAGGTCATATTTGTGATATATCAGGACCTGTGTATCTTTTGTACCCACTTTTTTAAAAAGGTGCTTCAAAGGGCCAACACACTGCGAAGCTGCTCTAAAAAAATGTATTTCCAGTTAGTCTGCATTGTAAGTGACCTAACATCTAAACCAAATGCCACAAAAACACTCAGAACCAAACAAAAAACGAAAAGCCTCAGCTGCTCAGGGAGAACCGAACCGGGACCTTTTTCCTCGGGGCAGGAGTAGTGCTAACCATCGATCCACCGGCTTTGGTCCTGTTGACTCTCTCAACAGGTTCCGACTTGGATGAGTTTGTGCTAGTGTCTGCTTCTTCGTTGAGTGGCTGAAACCACGGCCAAATACACTCTTTACTCCCCTCGAATCCACCTCATCATCTTGTCTTTGTGTATGTGTGCTAGTGTGGTTGCTGGGGTGATGGCAGGGATGGGTAGGCACTCCTCTTTAAGCAGGCCTGTGCGTCCGTGTGTGTGTGAGAGGCTGCGATCTATGCTAAACTGATTTCACCATGGCCGCGCCAGAGAGGCTAACACAATTACCGCTGGCTAATGGCCCCACTGACTGAGGGGGGAGGAGAGGCATCGTGGGTAGTTTTCTGGAGGTCTCTCATCTTGCTCTCTTGCTCTGTTTTCTCTCTTCTTCCTCTTTTTATTTATTTTTCTTTTTTTTTCCTCCACCAACCGTCTCTGACCCTTTCCTCATCCCTGCTCTCTCACACTTTTATCATAGTTTCTGGGATGCCCGTCGTCCCCGGGGCAGCTTGGTTCAGATGGCTTAAACTTGGCACAAAAGCAAAGTCAACAAATGCAAATAACTGAAATAATGGGCTCCCTTTGTTTCTCTCCCTGTCTCTGTGCTCTGTAGCCATCAGGAGAAAGGAGAACGGCTGGTACGATGAAGAACATCCCCTCGTATTCCTCTTCCTGGGCTCATCGGGAATCGGTAATTCACTGTCTCTTCTGTCACACCCAACCCAACGCTTCAGTTCTCAAAGCGTGTGAAAGAAAAACTCTTCAGCCTCCTCGAAGCAGCAGCCAAAATAAACAGACTGCTTGAATACGTTAAGTTTGTTGACGCATGTAGAGTGTACTCAAACAAATTAATTCAGCAGTTTAATTTAATTACGCTGAAAAGAAACAGAGTACAGTGAACTGCGGAAGCACTCGTCACTTTGTAAACTGTAAACACAGATCAGAGCTAGCTTGTATGCAGTAAATGTGTTTGTCATCAGTGTGTCAAGAATGATGCTCAGGAGGATTCATCTGATGGCAAATGTTTAAAATGCCCTGTACAACAGGTTTAATATAAAGGAATAAAGAGAAAGCAATCATTGATTAACAAATATCTCAGTCAGTCAGAAACTTCTGTTGAAAGTTGCTCAACAGAGCTAGTTTGTCACCTAAAGGTTGTCCTGTTCAGGTTTTAAGCCACGTTAAGGATGTAAGGATTGGTGGGTCTGTAGGTTTGTTAGTCCAGGCTCAAATATCTCAAGTTGTTGGATGGATTTCTGTGAAACTGTACAGACAGTCATGTTTCCCAGAGGATGAATCTTTCTCCCTTTACTGATCCCATGACTTTTCCTCCCGTGTCACCAGCTGTTCAGAGTGCTGGGTTTATTTGCCAAAACCCCCCCCCCCCCCCCACCACCACCAAAAAAAACCTCAAAAAACTTAAGTTTCAGCTGTGCCTTGTATAAAATGATGATTGCATGTTAACATGCTGAACTAAGACAATGAATACAGTAACATTATATGGACAAAAGTATTGAGACTAGGGCTGGGAGATATAGCCTAAAATCCGTATCGCGATATAATTTGAAGCATGTGCGGTAACGATATATATCGCGATATATTATTTTCTTCTGTATAACGTATTTTCCACACTATAAGGCACACTTAAAATCCTTTAATTTTCTCAAAAATCGAGTGTGCCTTATGTATGAATTCTGGTTGTGCTTACTGACCTGAACCGATTTGGGCGTGCAGAAATCTGTTTTGATGGATTGTCAGAGCATTACGGCTGCCGTAGTGAGGAGCGTCGCGGAGTAATCTGGGTTCAAAACTCCGTCAACTTCAGGTCCCAAAGTCAAACAAACTTTGAGAGTTAAAAACAGTCTAAATTCTTTCATCTTTAATAAAATCATCAGCGTTGCTGCTTTAGCAGGTGTAACAATTAAGTTTAACAACCAGGCATCCATGAAAACAGAAGTTATTAAATTTAACGGAGTTACAAGTTAACAGGAAGTTAGCTCGCTAGTTTCCACCTAAACATGACACACCATGTTCTGACTGAGAGATTAAAACGTTACTGAAGTTACTGAAGTTGGACTACCTGGTATATAATGTTGTGCTACGTGATTGCTAGCGACACAGCTATGTTAGCATAACATTAGCACAGTGAAGGTGGAGGATGAACGCCAACTTTTTTTCAACTGGATAAAAGTTAACGTGAGGGATTCTGGTGGTTAAGGACAAATGCAATCGCATAGCAGGATGCTATACACGGGCCAAACTTCAGTCAGGAGAACAACTGAGATTATTCATCCACAATACGAGGTTAGTTATTAATGTACTGCAACAATATGGGAATAGAACAGCTGCGAGAGAATTCAACATTAATGAATCAATGTTACGGAAGTGGAGGAAGCGCAGTTTTTGTCTTTCCCAATATTTCAAAAGTGCTTCATCTCTTTGCTATGACTGTCGCCAGGCCGCTGCGATGCTTTTGACCAAAACAGGCGCAGCTTGATGACATCATCAACATGCGCTATCGCGATAGAGCGGTATAGTCAAACTCTCTATCATTGGCCAAATTTATATAGTTTCTATCATATATCGTTTATATCGCCCACCCCTAATTGAGACATACTTCTCAATTTTTGAATTCTGGCGCTCACTGTCGCATTGCCTAAGGTTTATAAAATCACACACCTAGCCATGAAGGCTGCCTTCACAAACATGAAAGAGCTCACTGAATTCCAGTGTAGTCCTGTAAAAGGATGCCACTTGAGCTCTAAGTGATTTTACTGCAGAGTGGAAGTGTTTAGGAACCACAGCAACTGAGCCATGAAGTGTCAGAGAACATAAAGTTACAGAGCAGAGTTTCAGAATGCTTAAAAGTCACCGACACTCTGCTGACTCAGTAACGACAGAGCTCCATTAACATCAGCACAAGAACAGTGCACCAGGAGCTTCAAGGTGTGGGCTTCTATGGACCAGCAGCTCCTCTATTGTAATGTGCAGGTTGTCCAGTATTGGGGTGGCTGTTGCTCAAGAGGTAAAGCAGGTCATCTACGAACTGGACGTTTGGTGGCTTGATCCCCTGGCTGCTCCAGTCTGCAGTTTATCATATCGTGGGCTGTTGTCATGAAACTGACTGATTTGTTTGGAAATGTGACAGGAAACAGCAGTTTGACAGTTTAAAACACAATCAGCTTGATGAGCGCTACAGCTGGCAAATTAGTGCATGGGTGGGACTGACGGTGTCATCAGGCTGTGTGTGATTGGTTAGGGAAAACTGAATCCCCCTGATGAAGAGGAAGAAACGTTAGACTGAAGATGGAAACACTGTTTGGCACTGTTTAGCTAACAGACTCATTTTGAGTTGGGCCGTTTTGATATGTGGATGGCAACTTTGAGCTCCTGAAGAGGGATGGTGAGCAGATTTGGTAGTAATGTAAATATTCATGCGAAGTAATAGACTCCACCAACTGTACCAGTACCACAGTCTTTATCAGTTAGTACCTGTCTTTGCATGTTAAAGTTTCATTAGCACTGGGATGCCAGGACATTTTTATATCTGCATAATAAAGTCCCATCAAATTTCCAGTCCTTTGTTTACTGTAACCCATTGAACTCTGCATCCACCTGCCTGCAAAACACAGCTGGAACGTGTGTACGTGTGTGTGTGTGTGTGTGTGTGTGTGTGTGTGTGTTACAGCATTCATGTGTTTCCCTGTTAGTGCTTTCAGGGAGAGACCTGCTCTCTGATTGGTGGGCTGACAGCACCCCTCATTAATCACAGACTGAGCTTCCAGTTACTGCAGGTAATCAGAGTAAAAGTGAGCGCGCTCAGATGGGGCTGAGCTCCTG